AAGCGAAAAAAAGCCATGAGATAGGTGAATAGAAAACCCACCAGCAAGGCCATATGCTAAATAAAAAAAGGCCTTATGCTAGAATAAAAAAATTAGGTTCATAGAAAAGCGTCAACCAATCATGTTGCATTGGATCACCATGCGGAACTAGCCAACGAGACACAATCGCACTTCTTTCAGACTCTTCCTTCACAGTATTATGAGCACTGGTTGAATGCCCCGAGTTACTTAAGATTCAGTCTATTCTATTGCTCTCCTTGCACCTAAAAGATCTCCAAATCTCTTATTTTGACAACGAAGCAATTTTTCTGCCCTGGATGAAACACGTGTGGAACGGTTGCCGTTTTGAGTCTGAGATCCTGCCGCAGCCCTGTCGCCACATTTCCGTCAAAGAGCTTGACAGTTTAACATTTTTGATGTTTTTCACAAGGGCGGAAGTGGTGTAGTGGCAAGTGGCACGCTTACCACGCGAGCGGTCCGGGGATCAAATCCTGGGTCGTGAGTCGCCCGGGCCAACCAAGCCTTCCATCCCTCCGGGGTCGGTTAATTGGTACCAGACTTGTCTGGGAGGATAAAAACACTGACTTGTACATCGGCTGGCCCCCGCAAGTCATTGTATAGGCCACATCGCATTCAAACGCCACTACGAATGTACAAATGGAAGTAGAATGCGTGCCGCATCCCAAAAAGGGATTGATCAACGGCAAATGCTTTATCCTTTATCCTTTACCTTTGTTAGTGTTGAGTTCCCATCATTTCCGGAAATACCCTCTTTCTCTACCGTAATCATACATTCCCTTCCACGTAGAGAAATAGTTGTGAATTTGAGGCTTTATTTCTTTTGGGTGGTACTGAACATCCGAAGAAGTAAAGGGACTGCAATTTACCAGATATCCGGCTAGCGCTAATTATTTAAGCAATCCACTTGAATTGTCCATGGTAGTGAAGTCGTCGAGTATTGCGACTTATTGACGACTCACCACCATGGTTTACCAGATATCCGGGTAGGAGGTGATGAGCCATCAGAGAAAAAGAAGCGGCGTGAATGGGCGACTTGGCAAAGTGGCTCTGAGTGAATATGGTCCCAGCCACTACTGTATAGGGAATGCTTAACCCACAAGTTGCCGTAGGTCAGAAAAGCTGGGCTTTTGCATCCGATTAACTCTTTTTCCATGTCCTTTTTGTTGTTGACTGATTCCCTAACAGGTGTCCTGGTCACTCTCCCTTTACTCTACCGATCGGAGGAATCTTAATGGCTCGATGGACTTCGCGGCCAGCGTCGGCAACAAAAAAGCGATTGAGGATTACGTGGAATGAGTCGAGGATTCACGGAAGTTGACATGACCGCCGGCGATCGATGGGAGGGAACTCTCAGTGGTCGTGAGCGTTCAACGGGAATATTTAAGGAATATCTTCAAAAATAGCGCGGTATAGAAATTTACCTGGCCGTAGCAGATGTTTTTGACCTTGGACCAGAGCCAACAGAATACTTCCTATGGCCGGCATAGTCAGCTCGCCTCGATGAGAATTTCGTTCGCCGAGACCCAAATCGACAATCGCCAATCGTCGGCGACCGCCTGGAAAATTTATTGAGCACCTTCCGAAATTTGAAACAATCAAGGCGAGCTTCAAAAGTCGACAGAGTCAGAGCTGTGAAACCCAAAGTTGTCCTATTATAGTTACTGTAAAAAAATACGGTGTTTTTTTTGCTTTTGACAGAAAACAGATCGATAAACCGAGAAAAATCAATTACAATTAATGTTTGTATAACAGTAGGAAAGTAGGGGTACCTTCAAGCTCGTTGGTACCGGTTCGGTAGGCATACACGGATAGAAACACGAAAACATGGCTGGTACGGTATGTTTCCTCGTCTTCTGAACCATATGGATTTACTTATTGATCGCTATTGATCGACAAAATGACTCACCAACAATCCTGTGATCAGCTACAGTATTCAAATAGAATAGGGCTAAATCGGGCGAATCTACCCGTATTTCGGATTCGTTTTCGAGTAGCGCACCGGCTCGCGGATCATCCACCACCCGAACCGTTCGACGACGTGGATCTTTAATGCCCAATTACAATTCTGCTCAGAGATTTTTGTGAAGAAAAAATTCAGCAATTGACGAACCGCTACTGAACGGCGACAGAAGATCTGTGAGGTGATTTTCGCGTTGAGAATACTGGATGGCGGACATACGGATTTGATATCGAGTGTCAGGCTTACTGACTCTGAAATAACCATTTTTCTCGAAATAGAAGTCAAGCCCAGCACACATCAGGAGACGGTGGGTAGCCGTGGAGGGTGCTCTTAGAGCTCCGCCATCAAGAAAGGCGATTAAAACGTTAGTCAATAAATTTTGTATCGATCTCAAAGGCTGAAACAAGAACGCTAAATTTTACTACAACTAAGCCGAAATTAATGAATAGTCCGGTTATGAAGCAAAACGAGGTTACATAGTCCACTACAGATGAGTAAATAAGGTGAACAACCAGCCATAGGCGTGACTTATGGGATACACCTATAAGAAATACCTATTTTTCCTACCTCTGAGCAACGCTTCTGGCCTACAGACGGGGTCGGGTGCTTTCATGGTTAACTTCTAAGACAAACTATAAAAACTACTCAAGTAACAAACCTGTATTCGTCGGTGATCTTGAACACTGATGTGATTGCCGTTTGGAATACCCCGCTACTTGACGGTGGTGTACCGTACAGAAGACATTCCTT